CATCCACCCACCCAGGCGCACACCGCCACCCCCTTGACACCCATTCTAAGTCCCTTCCCACCCGGCTGACCCAGCCTTTGTTCAGTGGCTGTAGGTTGGTCCCCCTTTTACATTAACAAGTCAGCAAGTTGACTCCCCTTCTTCACCTTTATGGATCTGAACTAGTTTCTCCTCTCTTGTTAGTAATCTTTATTAATACCCACTAAGATTAATTCTACTTGAATGGTGGATTACAGGCCTTGACATATTTCCACTTCAATAGCATAGTGGCAGGTGACATGATCAGGGCAGAGAGTTGGCTTCCAAGGTGACTACAGAGCTGAAACTCACAGACTCCAGATTTCTCTGTATAAAGGACTTAGAATATAGTCCTGCAAAGGAGATGCACAGAATATGCCAACTAGTATAACACAAGAAGAAAGTGATCCACAGCTCAGGAGCGAGACCAGTAAATTACTGTGTATTGGGAGGAGGGGAGGGGGGTCTCCCACCCCCAGTACCTTCATGGCTCCTCCTCCAAGCCTCTGCTTATGCAACCTTGTCTGTCTGGAGCTTCCAGGCCACCATGGGTGAAATACCTCCACAGCCTTCTTCACCTTCAATCCTAGTTTTCTCCATAGTGCTGCTCACTGCCTGGCCCCCACCTTCCCTCGTTTTTATTTGTGGATTTGCTTTGTATCAGTTTCCCGACACCTGAGAAGAACTGCATGGGAACAAAAACCAGCCAGGACATTGCTGGGTCTCCACTGATGTTCTGCTTCCCGAGGCGTGCTCAGATTGTTAGGAAAATGATTTGGCAATCGCGCTCAAGAGCCAAGAAAAAGGAGAGAAAGAACAGTCCACACCCTTGACACTGTCGTCACATCCTGGGAATGTCCCCTACGGAAGCAATTCCCATGGCCTTCTGGCCTCCATCTGGCTGCGTGGGGTCTGCAGCTCTGGCGCACAGACAGTCTCAGCTGTTCGATGCCCTCCACCCTGCAGCCATGCACACAGCAGGAGCAGAGGCCAAGCACGAGGTTTACTGCGCATGCCACATGGCAGGGGCCTGTGTGCGCTTGGCCTTTTTTCCAGAAACATTCCTAGTGAGGTTCTTTTATAAAGGAGGCAAGGAGTCATCTTCTAGGCAACAAATGGTAGAGTCAGGTTTTGAACCTCTATAGTGTGACTGCAGAAATGTGCTCTGAATCCTGGAGAGGAGGTGGCACATAGGGAATTATGCACAGGAAACAGAGTCATCTTGTTTCATCTATAGCAGTCTCCTGCCTTCCTGACATGTTCTCTCCAGGCTTCAGTTCAGTTCAACCAAATTGCACCAATAAATTACTCTGTGCAAACCTCAAATGGCCATCTTCTCTTGGGAGTGAGAAAGTCCATCTGGTGAGGCACAGAAGGACTTACTAAGCATCCAGTGTGGCCATTTCATTCCTGCAGGAGGGGTCAGGTCCTCTTTAGCTACCCCAGCATGACCACTTCTCTGTGTCGCTGGGGAAATTAGCTAGCCTCACTGAGGCTCTGCTTCCTCATCCGTAACAGTAAGTCATATAGTACCCATCACATAGTAGGTGCTCAATAAATATTACTTTTCCCCCAGGATTACTGCCATGCTATAATTCAAAAGTTGTAAAAAAAAAAAAAAAAACTGATGATTAAAACAGAGGCATAGAGCCACAGAACATGGGTGGTTGAGATACTGAGACCGTGTAGAACTATTTCAAAGTGGGCCCTCCCTGGTGGTGCAGCGGGTTAAAGCACAGCACTCAGAAGCTCAAGCCACTTCCACAAAGCACAGCACTAAGAAGCTCAAGCCACTTCCACATGAGTTCGATCCCCGCCTGCCGGGGAGGAGACCACATGTCGTGACAGACATCTCTTGACCCGCCCGCTGCTCCCCTCAGCAGTGTATTTTGTCGATCTGCCTGTTCTGCTCCCCGCTCTGTTTCTGGTGAATCCTCTCACCCTCCGCATCTCTGGCCTGTGCCCCACTTCCATATGAATAAATAAATAAATCTTAAAAAAAAAAAACTATTTCAAAGTACATTGAAAAGTGCACTCAAAATAACATAGTTAAAAAAAAAAAAAAAAGACAAAACAGCCGGATACAAAAACCATCTACCACTTGGTTTTTAAACTCCTCTGAAGACGTATGGTGGTGGGTGAGTAAAACCTTGCACAAGCCGAGTTGTGAAGCTGTACTCCTGAGATCATATAGCTCTATAAATGAAGTATACCGTTCTATAAATATACTTTTGAAATTATAAAATGTGATTTAAAAAAATCCCTGAGGAAATAGTGCAAAAATGCTAAGTGTTTACTTACGTGCGATAGGACACCGGAGGGGCATGATTCTTCATACTTCTCATATTTTCTGGATTTTTCACAAGTACTATTTTTTTTTTTTTGATGAGCAGATAAAACGTTGTTTACAAAGTTCACTTTCCTTCATTTTATACCTTATTGGGTTCATGCTTTAGCAGAAAGGGTGGGACTAGAAAGGGACCAGAGAAAGGGAGGGGGAGAGGCTCCGCCCCTTGTGCTCTTCACTGACCTTTTACTGTGCCCAGGCACAGCCGAGGGGGTGGACACCACAACCAACTGAGATGCCAAAGAACTAGACCTGCAAGACAGGCGAGGCAAGTGAGTGGCACGTGCAAAGGCCCTGGGCTGTGAACCAGCAGAGAATAGCAAGTAGGAAGAGGAGGGGACTTGGCTGGGAGATGGGCGGCTGGCAGTGCCCCTGCGGCCCTGGGGCTGTACTGGGGCTTCAGCGTACACCATGAAGGCCTGGGGCCCCCATGGGGCTTGAGACTTTTTCCCTGTTGAAACTTTTTTTTTTTTTAAAGATTTATTTATTTGTACATACAGAATTGGGGTACAGGCCAGAGGCTCAGGGGTGGCGAGAGGCTTCACCAGAGACAGAGTGGGGAACAGAACAGGCAGATCGACGAAGTACACTGCTGAGGGGAGCAGCGGGCGGGTTGGGAGAGGTCTGCCGCGCCATGTGGTCACCTCTGGGGCAGGCGGGAATCGAACTCATGCGGAAGTGGCTTAAGCTTCTTTGTGCTGTGCTTTAACCCGCTGCGCCACCAGGGAGGGCCGAAACTTTTTTGTTTTTAAGATTCATTTATTTGCATACAGAACTGGGGTGCAGGCCAGAGTGCAGGGGGTGGTGAGAGGCTTCACCAGGGACAGAGTGGGGAGCAGAACAGGCCCATTGACAAGTACACTGCTGAGGGGAGCAGTGGGTGGCCAGGAGAGCTGTCTGCCGCGCCATGTGGGTCACCACTCCCTGGATGGGAGTCGAACTCATGCTGAAGTGGTTTTAGCTTCTTTGTGGTGCATTTAACCTGCGCACCACCAGGGAGGACCCCCTGTTGAAACTTTTAATGACCTATTTGTAGATCTGCATGCAGTTGTTAAAAAAAAAATACAGAGAGATCTGTGCACTTTGCTCTATTTTCCCCAGCGATGACATTTTGCAAAACTATAGGAAAAATCACAACTAGGATTGTGACATTGATATAGTGCACTCGTCTTAATCCGATTTTTCCGATTTTACTTGTATGGATGTATTAAGTCTAACAACTGTATCAGCCGTGCAGGAACACACAGACATGACAATCAAGATACTGGACAGTTCCACAGCAAGATGCATTGATTCAGTGGGAAGGGCAAGAGGGAGGCGCCCCAGAAGACCTTGTTTCTGCCTCTGGTCACTCACAGGGGTTGGAGTAGATGGTCAGTTGACTTGCTAAACTTGGGGCTTGTGATTGTCCAGAAGGCCAAGGGGGAATGTCCTAGGTCAAGGGGGAATGTCCTGGAGGCCAAGGGATTGACAAGCAGATGGGAAGGAAGGATGTGAGATGGAGGCTGAGCTGGGAGCCACCACCTCAGCTGGAGCTGTGGGTTGTCTTGGGGGGGGGGGGTGGCAGTGTGGAGCACCCAGCAAGGAGGATCACCACTCAGCAAGACTCAGAGCCAGGTGCAGAATGTCAACACAGCTCCTTCCCCTTAGCTGTGTCCTGTTTAGTCCCCTGCACCTGGGGCTTGCTCATTCTGGCCCTTCCTGGGGGGGGGGGGGGGGGAGAATCTTAGAGGTCAGTGACCCCCAAAGTCTTACCTTTACAGAGAAGAAAACGGCCCCACAGAGAAGAGTGAGGTTTAAGCTTGCCAAGATTGTAGCAGTGATCTACAGCCACAAATGGGCTGCTTGTTTTCACAGTAACCATGTTTTCTTCATAACTTTTTAAATCAAATTTTACTGATTTGCCATGTTTACATAATGATATAATTTGGGGGGTAAGGCTTCACACCTCAACATGTGCCCATGCGTCCCTCGCCCCCCACTCAAGCCCAAGCCCAAGCCCAAACACAGTCACCCCACCCATCCCTCCTCAACCCCCCCTTTGTAGTTTCCAGAGTTGAAAAGTCATTTTTGTTGTGCCAGTTTGTTTTCATTGGTTCTTTATATTCCGCAAAAGACAAAACTCATCCTGCAATTGTCTTTCACTGTCTTAATCACTTCGAATAATTACCTCAATGTTGTCTCTCCGGAAGAGAGGTAGAGATGTGGAACCGGGAGAGGCAGTCATGGTTGCAGCTGTTTCGCGCTCCCATTTTTATTGAGCGTCTACTATGCCCCGCACTAGAATGCCAAGCTGTGTTCTCTGCATAAAGACAAGGAAGGGTTAAATTCTAGGAGCGAGGCAGGGGTGGGGGTGGGGGTTCAGGGTGCGGGTCGGGTAGAGGAACCCCCCAGAGGAAAAGCCCCCTCCTTAACGTCTCAGACTCCGGAAACCTGGGCGAGAGGAGTTGGGGGGAGTGGGGGCGGCGGCCGGCGAGCTGTCGCCCCCGCAGGGTCCGCGGGCGCTGGAGCCCAGGCTCTCAAATTACAACAAAAGGTGCCGGGGGCGGGCCCGCAGCGGCCGCGGCCAGCAGAGAAGGGGGTGGGCCCAGGGAGGGGTTTGCTGTTGGACTCCCCTTAAAAGTACCGGGGAAACTACAGTAAAGGAGCGACTGAGCCGAGGCATCCCAACCTTGGAGCTCGCTTTCTGCTACGGCTGGAGAAGTGGGCTCGCCGGCTCCACTCGGGCCAGGCGCGCGGAGAGGGGCCGGCCGTCGCGGAAAACCAGCGCCCCCAAGCCACTGCGGACCCCTGCTGCCAAGTAAGAGCCCCTCCCGGCGCCTCCCCTCCCCGCCGCGTTTCGCGGGAAAACCGGGCGTCGTCGCGGGGTCCCCGGGGTCCACTCCCCGCGGGGCAGACAGACTCTCAGCCTGCGGTTGGGGTCCCCGGGACCTCAGCGGGGGGGGCACAGCGAGGCTTCTTGTTTCGAGAGATGCAAGGACACGCACAGCCTCCCTCCCCACCGCGCGGACCCGCCCAGCCCCACTCGCCCGAGCCGGGAGCGGCGCTGCCGCTGACAGCGCTGGGGGCCCGCGCACGGGTTTCCTCGGTGGCTGGGGGCGCCTGCGGCCAAGCAGGACCGTGCTGGGCGAGCCTCGAAGCGCGCTAACCCCTTGGAGGTGTGGCGTGGGGGCAGTGGCTTGTGGAGGGAGTTCTGGCTTTTGAGGCTGTGGAGCGCACAGGGCCTGGGGGTGCGTTGGATGTCCCCTCGGCTCTAACTGTGGGGATGTGCACTGCGCAGGGTTGTGATCGGATGAGGATGGGGACCCATGGGATTGCGTCCGGGAGCTCTAGCGCCCACCGACTGCAGCTGGGCTTTCCCCCTAGCCTGCAGGACTCAACCCGCGCAGGAGCGCCCTGAGTCGGGTGGGTGAAGAGGCGCCGTCCACTCCTTCACTCCCAAGTCGTTCCGGCTTCTCTAGGACCATAACTTCCCTCGCTCTTACCACCCAGAGGCGGTGGGAGGCGGTGGGGTAGAAAGGAGCCGGTCCTGGATCGTTCCCGGTGCAAGCCGCCGCCCAAGGGGTAGAGCTGACTAGTTTTGAGCTGCTAATAGCCCTGTCCTCCGTGACAGCAACTTTTACGCACGCGCCTTGGCCACTGGACTCTGCCCCCGCATCGCCCCAACGCCTCCATTCAATTCCCAAGGCCCTCTGGCCCAGCGCCGGAACGGAGCGATTAGAAAAAAAAAAAAAAAGAGAGAGATTCCTTCTCCATCACTCACAACTACAAATCCACCTTAAAAATACCCGGGGTGGGGGGTGGGGTGGGGGAGGGGGCCCTCTCCCTGGTGGCGCAGCGGGTTAAATAACAGCACTAGAAGATAAAGCCACTTCCACTTGAGTTCATCAGCCCTGGAGGTGACCCACATGGTGTAGCAGACCTCTCCTGACCCGCCCGCTGCTCCCCTCAGCAGTGTACTTCGTCGATCTGCCTGTTCTGCTCCCCACTCTGTCTCTGGTGAAGCCTCTCACCGCCCCGAGCCTCTGGCCTGTACCCCAGCTCTGTATGCATAAATAAATAAATCTTAAAAAAAATACTTTTAAAAAAAATAATAATTGCGGGGGGGGGCGGGGGTGTGGCAGCAGGACACTGACGGGTTTGAGGACCAGGGCACCTACCTACTACTATGGCTAGAAAAGCTCCAGTCCTGTCCTGCAGAAAACTTGCATGAACATCAGAAACACGGCCCAAGTTTTCGCCCCCTAAAATCAGAACTGAGATGTTAGTATCCAGCCATTTCTTTTTGCTGAGGAGGAAAAGGGCAGGAACTCAAGATTACTGGATTAGTCGGTGTGGGGTGGAGACCCCATCCTTTACTCCAAGTCCCTCCCCTGAACCACTGCCAGTCTCTCCTGGAACCCCAGGAACCCACTGGTCACCATTTGGGAAACTGTTTAGTTCTTTATGGTGTATTGTGATTTTCATGGTCAGAGATGGGGACAAAAGCAAAGTGTTCATTTCTCTGGTCAGTTCCCCAGATGGGGACTGACTCCCAGGAGCCTGCCTTAGCTAAATGATTCATCTCTTCCGAAGCTTTGTCCAGTTCCCCCTTCCTGCTCCATGGCATCTGTCCCTAGAATGCAATCCCATGGCCAATCGCACACACCCCACCAACGCAAGGGGTTCGTATCTGGGGGTGTATATGTACACATCTGTTTCTCCCTTTGTGACTTGGTGTTAAAGTGACTTGGTCTAAAGTCAAAAGTTTTAAGTGACAAAACTGAATGTGAAACAGGCCTGACATCACAGGCTGACATTTTCAGGCACTGCAGACAGGAGATCCTGTTCATCTACAGTAACCCACTGTTTCCTTTTTCCTGATGTCAGTTGCCACTAGTCAGCTGTGGCGTGAGAAAAAATATATAAAACAAAATATTGAGAGAGAGAGACACCACATTCACATACATATTATTAGTGTTATTAATGTTCTATTTAATTATTGTTAATCTCTCATGCGATTAATTTAGAAATTAAACTGTAGTTATATATGCATACAAGAAAGCCTGATGTATAGACACCATATATATTGTACATCATATATGTATGCATGTGTGTACAGGTGTAAATGCACACACACATATGCACAACAGGATTCTGTACTCTTAGTGTTTCAGGCACCCACTGGGGCCTGGGATGTCACCTGGTAGGTGAGGGTTGTCTGCTGCACCTGTCTCCTGGCCTGACCTCTCCTGGACTGGCCTCTCCTGGCCTGGCCTCTCAGGCCTGGCCTCAAGGGCTTGTCCTCCAACTTCTGGATGACTGGGTGGAGGGACCAGGTGGGATGGTCTTTGTCCTGTAATGACCATCTGTGATGCTTCTAATGTCCTGGACAGCTCTGCATAATTTAAAAATTATTTTTATTCTGCAAAATTCAAGTATGCACAAAAGTAAAGGGACGTCCTCACATACTTCTCACCCAACTGCAGTGGTTACTAACCTTTTGCCAAACTCTTCTCTTTTTCCTTTTTTCATTGAAGCATTTTAAAGAAAATCCTGGACAGTAAATCATTTCACTCCTAGGTATTCTGTTGTGAGCTCTAAAATTAGAGGATTTTATTTTACACCTGAGAAAATTAAAGATAATTCTATGGTATGCGCAAATACTTAATCATATTCAATTTTTTTAACCAGTTTTCCCCAAATACCTTCTACAGGTGACCTGGAATCTGTTTATTTTGATATTTTATATTTGCATCATCGCATCATATGGTATTGCTTTCAAATCATTCTTCTGTCCACTATGGCATTTGTTTCTTATATCATCACACTACAGAGTGGAGTGTGTATTACTGAATTCATTGTAAACGGGCAAAACAGGTAAACTGTCCAGGCGGCATCGCTGGCAACTGGCAGAACCAGGACTGACCCAGAGCCTCCTGGGCAGCAGGGCTTCTGCTTCTTAGCTGCTCAGAGCAGTCGGCTCTTCTCCACAGAATTCATCTTGGCTCTGGCTTCATCCTGAAAGCTTATCACTTCCTCTACACCTGCTATCAAACATTCTTGTGTAACTATTTAATGATTGCCCATTTGGCTCTGGAGATAAATCAGCTGCAAAATCAGGAAGCCTCGGTTTATTTCCGAACTTATTATAAAGCTGTATGACAGTAGCTTACCTTCCAGGTAGACAGCCTTCTTTGAACTAGGAAGCAGCTCCCTATGATCCAGCAATCCCACTCCTAGGCATCTATCCAAAAGACACAAAAACACTGATTCAAAAAGATACCTGCACCCCCATGTTTATTGCTGCTTTATTTACAATTGGAAAAACATGGAAGCAACCCAAATGCCCAAAGTGGATGACTGGATTAAAAACATTGGTACATATACACAATGGAATATTACTCATCAACCAAAAAAAAAGAAAAAGAAACACATGTCTTTTGCAGCAACTTGGAAAGAGCTGGGAAAGATCGTGCTTAGTGAGATAATCCAGAATGAACTAGGAAGCAGTGTCCTCCAACATTCTCTTTCCCCTAGGTCTCAAAGTAGGATGAGTGAAATATTTAGAATTCCTGGAGGAGACAAAGCCCCCTGAAGGAAGCCCCATGAAGAACAGTCGCCAAAGAACATAGCATCTGGCTGCTCATAAATTCTATGATAGAGAAAAGGATTCCCTCGGAGATCCTTTGTTTATGGATAACTTAGTTTGTCCTGCCTTTCATGAGGATATAGGACATCAAAACTTTATGCTTTCAGTGTTTCCATTACTTGTGTTTCATTGATTTGAAATGGGGTGCTAAAGAAATCATCCTTACATTTTATTAATGAGACATGTCAGAATTCTTCCTTGGTTGGCTATGTGGGGAAAAGGACTCTATGGCTGGATTCCTAGATTGTCACACTTAGTTTCACTTCTCCGAAATAGACAAGGATTAATCCTCCATGCATCTGCCTACTAGGGACAAAGAAACAGCAGCAGCCCCATTAATCAATCTTAGAAATTCAAAAGGCGCAAAGCATTAGACCAAAATCACACTCTCTTCTCACTATCTTCTGGTAGCCACACTTTCCCTCCTGGCTAGCAGGCTGTCTCCATGAAGGTAGAATTTCTAGGTGATTCCACGTCAGCAGCTGCAGTTCTTACAGCTTGGGGAAGGTCGGGAGGTGCCAGATCCCTGGGCTGGGAAGGACAATGTGAAATGACTCTGGTTCATTTCCCTCTGGTTCTACAAGGGTTCGCAGGGTCAGTCTCAAGACTGTGTCCCACAAGACACCTCAGCTACCAGACCCAGGACTAGGAATGGTGGGCCAGAGAGAGGAGAGGTGGGCAGTTCTCACAGAGATGCCACTGTGGTAGTGCCCTGCTCATCCTCAAAGTCTGTAGTGGGTCTAAGTGGAAGTTTCAGGTCTTCTTGGCCTCATCCCACAACTGCTCTCCTGCTGTGGTGCTGACACACCCTTGGTAGGGACAGCAGAGACCTTCACCTCCTCTGTCCCCCTTCCCCACCCCCCGCCCCCCTACCAGGGTCTGTAGACAGCCTGGCCACCCTATCAGAACAGCCACTTGTATGAGGGTGATCACATCTGCCAGTGACAATTTAGATAAGAGAGCTGTCCAGGTCTAGAAAACTCTTGCACTTCCCTTGACAGAAACAATGAAGCTCGCCATACAGGTTGTATGTGGCAAATACCAGTGAAAAGCAAGAATAAAGCTGGCAGATAAGGGTATGATGAGATCACAGTGAGTTCTTGTCCTAGGCTCTTTGGTACCATTGTTTGGAATACCTTTAAAATTGTATCACAGAGTTACATCGGTGA